TAGTATTTTCCTACAAAAACAGTATGTGTGAGCATTTGTTTTTGAGATATAATACTTATGCCATTCAGAAGTCTGTGAGGCTCTTGGGCATGATGGAAGAGGCCACTTTGCCACATTACTCAGTCAAATGAGAGGACAATAGTGCCTTGTGGACAGATACCTGTCGATAATTGGGTAGGTAGGTGGGAGAAAAGGAGATGGAGAGGTTCCTTTATCTTCTACAAAGATAACGTGTTTATTCTCCATTCTCATTACCTTTGGCCTTATAAAAAATGTGTAACTGATGTAATTCTGCAATCTGTATATGGGGTAAAAATGGGAGCTCATAACCCACTTGAATCAAAGTGTGAAATATGATATATCAAGAACTATGTAATGTTTTGAACAGCCAACAATAAAAAAATTAAAATAAATAAATAAATAAATAAAATTAGGGGAGGAAAAAAATGGTTTATTCCCAATGAATCTGCATTTACTTCTAAAATTTCATGGCAGATACAAAGTGGATTCACAGTGTGCTATATCATGTTTTAATTATCAAGAACAAAACACTCTAAACACTTATTTAAAGTATGTGGAATGAAGAGATGAGGTATAAAGAATGAATAGAACAATGGCATCTATCATATGTAAATTTGAAAAAGAAAGTTCAGAAGTGGGAATTTCAAAACATTGGTGTATAAAAGTCAAAGGTACTTTTTCTGAAAGATTTGAGAAAATCAAGAAGCATAAAATTAATTAAGGATTTAGAGTTTCCAACTTGCTAACCTCATTTACCTTTTTAAAATCTGTCTGATGGATTACCTGCTGTGTTCCTACATTATTTGTAAGGTATTCTATTTGTAAAGGTTTACTTAAGAAAAAAACACATTGTGTTCATCTCTCTTCATTCTTAATCTGACCAGAGTTTAAGTTGTCAAGCAAGAAAATAAACACTTATTCCATTGCGGCATGTCTTAATCATAATTATCTGTGAAGGGCACTGTGGCAGGGGGTGAGACCAGATCTCCAGACGGCCCTTGCACAGTATGATTAAGGGAAGCTCCCAACATGTCTCCCACAGTACCCTGCTGTGGTGCCAACCTTTCCACCCACCTGGCCAGTACACCAGTTAGACTCTTTGATTTTTACAATAAATGCATTACCTCTTATTAGAACTCACATATGTTCTGCGGGTTGAGAAAAAGGCCTTAGAATTACTACTGCCACACCTCATTAACTTATATTATAAAATTTACTCTCCATCTCACTAAGAGACACAAAGTCTCTTTCTGTTCTCTAGAGGAAAAAACACAAGGACAACTGGATGTTCAGAGAGGATCACAGATTGTTGGATGGGAGTAAGATTTCATATTTAATGTAGTTAATTACTTAAAGATGATCAGAAACAAACAAGGATTAAGTGACCTACAAACTGCTGATGGTGAAGTCGGGATTAAAGGCCAACTCAGTGTTTTCTGTGTCTGAGCCACACATAGAAATGGAAAACTGGCTTTGTAAAGATGATCTGGAGGTGTCTTTTGAAAGAATAAATATGTCAGTGGGTCAAGATATATAGATAAAATAGACCAAGAAACTATTAAATCACACTCCAATAAAAAATCTGAAGATTGCTGCATCATCAAGGTAAGGGTGAGATTGGATGCTTTTAAAGCTAATATCTGCTTTTTACTTGAACATCAGTTTGTTGATCTACATTTTAATTATTTTAACTTCTTCATTGTCAAACATTTTATCATAATAATTTCCTATCATGTTTTAAAATACCTTATTCCACTAATTTTTAATGAGATATTAAAGAATGGATTACCCCAATTTCATCAATCAAAAGATCAGCATGAAATCATAAAGATGATTACTATTAGTAATCTTTGCCATGAATGAATATGTAATTCACAAGCTTTTCCTAAAATGTTTTTGACTGGTATAATTCTCATTATTACTTTTTGAAAGCCCAAAGGCTATAAATTCTATAGATTTGGATCATCAAAATGGTGGGTCTCATTCTACGATACTCATGTTTCATGAAATTGTGTTTACTCTTGCAGTGCATTCCTTTTCCTCAGCTAGTCAGAGAAGAAAACTCCATTCCTTATTTGGCACCAATGTCTGTTGGAATACAAGTTAAAGCTTGTTAAAAGGAGAATTAACCAACAGGCCTTCTACATGAAATTATTTTATTATGCTAAAGTACAGAAGGCAGATAAAAGCTTTAGTAAAACACAAATACATTTCAATGTCTATTTATTTAAATTTGCCTGTTTCAGTTACTTCCTTGACACAGCATCTGTGACAACTTATTTTTATCCTTAGCTATCCTAACTTATTCCTGGTTTGCATCATGATATTGGAATGTTATATTATGTTATTGCATTGCAAATTATCTTCCAAACTTTACAATGGAAGTTAATCCAAAACAGTTAGTAAAAACTGCATTATTTCACACAGGTTAAAATTCAAGGAAAATATATGAGGTAATAATTAGGAACTAGGACAGCATCCAAAATGGTATTTCATGGAAAATCCAAATGAAAATCCAATACAAATCCTGATTAAAACCTAACCAAGCAAAACACTGCAGATTACCTGGATTCCAATTAAATGTGACAAATGAATACTTGACAGGTTTCAATTCCAATTCTATTTATGTCAGAATGACCCATTAATATCAAAGATGAAATTACCAGAATTCAAGCAATACAATTGTGCTTTCTGGCTAGATTAGTAGTCTAAAAACAGGAACTCCATCAAAACTGTGAGTCGAATATCCACTGCTATGCTTGGATCACTCAAAATGTATCACATCTCCTTCTGTCATTACCTATACATTGGGACCAACATGAATCACAGCTAGCAGATGCCAAATCGTTTATATAAACTCTGCATTTCAAGTGTCAGTCACATACAAAATTAGGAAAAAGCAGTTATATTATCATGGGCCTTGCTATTGACAAGATACAACAGATGTTTACAAAAAATAACTAAAAGCCTTTTGAGGGGAATCTTAGTAAACTTTCTGTTCTATTTACAAGCTCACCTGTTGTTTTCTATGACATGTATGCTTCATAAAATGGAATTGATATGTATTTGTCATATTTAATTATGTTTTAATTATTCATAATTTCTTGATTATTTTAAAGATGTTGAATGGCCTTAAACTCACAAAAATGGAAAATAACATTAAAATGTCTTTATAATGCCAGTGTACAAAGTCCTTCCTATTTCTATAGCTGACATTCAAAAAAGGATCCATTGTGTACTATATTACTAATAACAAAAATAAACACTTTTTAAAACATAAAATTGTTATCAAATGATGATCTAAGAAATAGTAATAATGAAATAATAAATTAATACTGCTTTCCTCAGTAGATAAAAAATATATATGTATACATATATGCTTACATATGTAGGTAAAAGCTATATTTAAATAAATCTTTAAATATTTATATATATAAATACACTTAAAGATATTACATATATGTTATATATGTAATATCTTTAAATTTAATTTTAGTTTTCTCCAAAGAATATTGAATAGACTTGCCTCAAATATTCATCAGCATTTCAATTCACACCAAAATTTTATACTCACTTAAAAATTTTAAAATTTTGTCTTAAAAATCACATCAAACTCCCATCCACATAAGCACACAGCACCATACACACAGATAAGCATGCCTTTATAGCCAGAAGGCAAAATGCCACTTAACACCTGGATAATTAATCAAGAGGGACATCAATTATCAAACCCTGGTAGCATATCTTCTCACCTGATGATAGAGTGGATAAATAATTATTTGGCATGATTTAGTTTAGCAATACTTCAACTTAGGGTCATTTATGAGAATATATATATATATATATATATATATATATATATAAACTGGATTTTAATATTCATAGGTAAACTTACAGAAGGAAAAAGCAATCTTTTTCCTGCATTAATATGCTGTACTTAGCATATCATCACTGAAGAAACTACCATATAACAGAAAGTTAAAAATTTTTCTACTTCACTAGAGGATTGAGATAGAGAAAGACATAAATCCATTTTGAGTTTTTACTAAAAACAAAATTTCCTTGATGCTCCTTCCTTCCCTTATATATGACCATATCTTTTTTATATACAAAATAATGATGAATTTAGGAAGAACTTGTACCATTCCATTAACTGACATAAATTCATCCTCAAACATTCACTTATGATTTGAAATCCAGAAAATGGATTACCAAATTGCCTTTGGGAACATAAACAAATGTGAACAGTTTTATAAGTACTGCTGCAATATAACTTTATGATCTAAATGAAAATGTATATAAGGTAAATTGTAATAATTATGAGAATAGCCTCACAAAAGGGTAAGAATATGGAGAATTATAATTTGTGTTCCTTCCTTTCTCTTGCACAAAAGTGAGTAACACCTTATACTTAAATGAGAGAGGAACTCTAATAGTATTTACTGCATACTGTGGAGAGCAAGACAGAGCTGTTCTCCTTCTCTGACTCAATTTCAGCTAGCATTGAAAGGAGAGATTTGAAAATGTTTTTCCTAAAAATCTAGGGGGTAAGGGGAGTCAAGCAAGGTGTGTTTATGGTCATTTCCTTTCACCAAGACTGGACAGTAGCAATTGAAGAAATAGTTGCATGACAAAAATGAGTATTAGAAAACTATCAGAAAAGACCTTTCTCGGTGGCTATTATTGAGAAATTGTGCTCTAATTTAGCATTTTCATAGAAGACACTGCTCTGGTTTTATTTGTATGTGCATTTATTTCTGACAGGCCATTTTTAAATGATGGTGCAATTTTGGTGAGTTTTATCTACATAATTATGTTGCTTTATTTGGCATTTCTATATTTTAGTAAATAGTTATTATTTAAAATAAAATAGTATTGGAGTCAGCTATTTTATTTTAGTTTTAGACTGACCTTCGCCAAGCCTACTTATTACGGCTCACTAGCGTGATTATGTGTGTGGATGTTGTGTTTGCCCCTACCATTTTCCATATGCTCTGCCTCACCAACACTGCCATCCGGCGTGGTCCTTTCATAGTTGTCCTCTGGGAGTGGAAGGGCACCCAGTCTTGGCCCTGATGAACTCTTACTGCTTGGTGTTTCTGACTCCTCCAGCCCGCTGTCATAGCAACTCTGCAGTGACCCCTGATGTGGGTCCTGAGGCTGACTCACAACAGAAAACGTCACTCTACGAAATGGCTGCAAAAGAAAAGATTCTGAATGTCACTAAGATATAAGATTGTAAATGATCTTATTAAAAAATACATAATTACATACATTAAAATCTACTGACAACTAATTCAATAAATATTGTTAAATATGTTGAAATTGACTTGGTGAACTATATATTATCTTAGACAATGCTTGGAGCTTGGATAACTGAAAATTCTCTTTCTGAAACCAAGATAAGAAAACAGAAATTTCACTAAAACATGCATTTAAATCTGATATATTAGTTCCATATACTTAACCTTTTTTTTATTCAATAGTCTTAATGCTTTTTACAAACAGAATTCATAAAAACAAGGATCAGTGATGTCAAAAAATACATCATTTTAAAATACCTCATCCATGAGATATAAAGTTTTAAAAGATTTAATGCGCTGAAACTTGACATAATTATTAAAATTACAGCTGATAAAAGGATTCCAGATGCAGGGCTAGGAAATTAAAGTATATTTATTACTTCTTTTTATAAAATTATTGTCTATTTAAAATTGTATGAATCACGTTAAAGTAAAAGTTTTCTTAAATAATGAATAGAAAATAATCTAAAAAGTCTAAACATATGTTTTACTATGACTATAATTAGTTAAAAAACAGTAAAATCATGTGCAATCTTTAATTTGTATTTAAAAAGTTCTGCAAAACTTCATCCAATAGGAACCAATAATTTATTATGCTTATGATAATGAACAAACTGAATATTTACTATAGATGAAATGTAAGATTATCTGAACTACATAATAAAATAAAAAAGAAACACTTAGGCTTATTAAATGAGTAAACTAATATCAGATAGTGGCTGTGCTCCATACCAACAATAATTTTGAAAAACAATCAAACATTGTCCCATAATATCTTTCTGAGATTATTCTTGGCAATAGTTGTATCCACTAAACTCTTGTGCGAATGTGAAGATGGCAGAGTGTATATATTTTTACCTTATAACTTGTTCTTTCCACCATATAGCATCAAATTAAATTTACCAGATAATAATGAAAAAATGAAGAGCTTTTTTTGTACTTTTGTAGCTTAAATGCTCAAGGTACAAATAACTATTATTAACTGGGATCAGTAGAATTCTATAAGTGTTAAGAATGCTCAAGATACAAATAACTAATATTAACTGGGATCAGTAGCATTCTAGAAGTGTTAAGAATTATCTGCACAAGATTTGATATTAGTGAGAAAGCTAAGAAGAATTGTGGCATTTTCCTGTAATTTATAAACTGGTTTTGCTAAAGACAATCACATGCTTCCACAAAATTTCCTTTTTTTTTTTTTTTTTGTTATAGATAGAAGATTTGCTAAGAATACAGTACATTACTGGTATTTCTCCCTAGTACCTTGCCATTCACGTACTAAAGTGTAACACACAGTCTACAAAATTCTCTTTTTCATTCTAGTTCAAAATCAAATTATTAGAATAGCTAAATCTAAGAGTAAAAGAGAAACCTTCAAATCACATTCTTTTCTTTATAAAATTTCACTGATTTGGGTCGGCAATATTGAAAAACAATTACAAAATATTTCTAGTATAAATTGCAAACACATTATGGGCCAAAATTTACATGCAATGTGCTCTAGAAACACTATCCTTATTTTACTAATACTTCTCACATTTCTTTATATTAGTATCATTGTACATTTTACTCTGTATATAAATAAATGTAGAAATATATTTGTATTTACCATGTTTCACCTTTGGTGTGAATTTTCTTTTTATAAAATCTTCCCATTTATCCCTACTAGCTGACTGCAAAGTATCTGTGATTGATGTCTTTGTTGTCACCTCAGAAATAAAACCACTGACAAGTGTCCTAAAATCACATTGCTCTGCACACAAAAGATACTCTGCAAATACTACTGCACAATGAAATTGTAATATCAATGTTGAATTTAGGCAAGAACTCCAAGGGTCAGGCAGACATATTATCACTTCAAGACACAGAAATGGGTTAAAAATAGATATATGGATATTGAAAGATAAAAGAAGGTCAAATGCTATACTTAATTCTATTTTAATAACTTTGAAATCTTTTAGGATCTGGCTTTTCTAACACAAGAAAAATTTTCAGGATGAATACAGAAATCCGTAAATAAAATTAATAAGTTGAAAGAAGAAAAATAAGAAATCATGAGAAATAGTGTTTCATTTTGATATAAAAACAAGAAAGAGAATGACATTCATGTGGAGATATTAATCTCAGAATCTGTGTTTACATGCTTGTTCCACCAAAGCAGTGATCGGAGAGCATAGATGGGTCATAAACTATGTTTGCAATGAAAAATGTCAAAAATAAAATAATGATTGCACTGTAACAGGTTAAATAATGACTGCCATGAACTTATGAACATTTTATTTACTTGATTTCCTACCCTATTGTGATTATGAATATTTTAATCTCCATAAATTATTTTAGAAGCAAGAAGAGTATAATTTTAATATACTAAGATCTATTTATATAGTAACAGATTCATCAATGCTTCCTTTTTTCTGTAAAAATCTTTTCCCATTTAAAATAATATCTGGATGAATGAAGAAATAATTTATAATAAATGTACAAAATAAAAAGTATTACACAAAGGATCAGAATATGCTGTCGCATCATTTTTATGTACAATTTAAAATGTGGCCTTAGAATTCTACAAAGCATTATTAGCATTTATAGCAATCACTAAATCTTAAACTGATAATTGTGAAAAATTAAATTCTTACAGCAATATATTTAAGTTGTTAATATGAACCAAATTGGTACAGATTCCTATCTTTTGAAGAATAGTCTATGGATGCAAAGAGTTAAAATTTAATTCCAGTAGTATATCATATATATTGAGTTAGACAGCTAGATAGATAAAGAGAGAGGAAAAGACAGAGAGAGGCAGACAGACAATATTTATATACCATCTACCATCATTAGCTTGGGTCTATTGAGAAGGTGGTTTATAACATTCATAGCATTTATAACAGTGGCTATAACACAGAATTCAAGTTATCTTTATATTCCAGGAAGCCTCATTAAAGTGGAAATGCAAAACAGTGTTGACTACATAGCAGGGGATAAATTTGCATTAAATACGTGACTTTGACTTTATCACTGATACTCTGAAGCAAAATGGTTTAAATGATGATTCTTCAGCCTACATGCACCTTACAATCACCCCAGAGAACTTGTGGAAAAAAATAAATTCAAATTCTTGGCCCCAACAGAAGCCCAGTGAGTCAGCTTTCAGGTGTGACCTGGATATTAGTAATTTTTAAGATCTCCTTGATTGATGAAAAGCACAGAGAACAAAGAAAAATCCTATGGTCAGGAAGAACCTATGTAAAGACATAAAAGAAAGCAAACTGTTCCAGGAAGCCAGCGAGTTCTCTTGGGGTTGTAGCAGTTTCCAAGGAAAGTCAGTAGACTCTTGCATGGTTCCATCTTGAGACTCAAAAACATGGGCATGAAGATACTTAGTGATCTGGAGTGATGGAGCTTTGTCTTTTTCAATCTTGGCTAATAAACGATTTTGTGTTCTGCAAAGCAAACTGATCTATTTTAAAAGAGAGAAATCAAAGCGCTTGAGGAAGAGCACAGGTCTTCTAGATTACTGAAAGGGTCAAGAGAGGCTAGTGTCCTGAACAAGTAAGGCAAGCAGGAGAACTCAAAGAAGATGATTCTAGGGGCTTGGGGCTGTAGCTCAGTGGCAGAGCGCTTGGCTGGCACATGAGAAGCACTGGGTTCGATCCTCAGAACCACATAAAAATAAACAAATAAAATAAAGGAATGCTGTCCATCTGAAAGTACAAAAAAAATTTTTTTAAAAAGAAAATGATTCTAAAAAAATTGGTGGTGGAAAAAGAATTCAATTAGGTGAACAAATGATGTGATTAAAGGGTCAAGCTAAAATCTGATCATTTCTTACAAAAAAGGAGGAAGAAGAAATTTGAAGGAAGGCAGATGATTATACCAAGACATTTTGAACTATAGAGAAACATTTATCTAGCAAGGGGGTAAGGTTGAAAGAAGGTGGCAGCCGTGAGAATGAGTAGCATGGCGCTTTTGAAGCAAGCGTGTGTGGATGATTGGATTCAGTCATTAATTCACTTAACTTGTATTTATTTTGCACCCATTATGTTACAGGGTTTCAACAATAGTTCTACACACTGGAAAACCCGTAAGTCTTATAGGCTACAGAAACACTCAAAATACAACACAATCAAGTTTCCAATACAATAGAGGCAGAGAAGAGATGCTATAATCTGCATGGGATTTAGGTGTGTGGATTGAAATCCCTAAAGCTGTTTGATAGACAACATACATTTAAGGGCCATATTTGATGGATCAGCAAAAAGGGATAAAAAAACAAGTGGGTAAAAAAAAATCAGATCATATTTGAAACTAAAAAGCCCAGTACTCAGACATTTCCAGAAAGACCAAAAAAAAAACTGATGTGATTAAAGGAATTAGAAACATTAAGAAGAATGCTCAGAACCACAAGTCTGTTGGAGTCATCTACTAGAAGGTCATTGTGGCTAAAAACCTCCAAACCATTGCGAACAAAGAAAGGTGCAAATATAGAACAAAAGAAAATAGGCATACAGCAGTAATTTTGAAAAATATGACAAAAGGGAAGAAGTTGTATAGCAGCTTAAAGAAAAAGATCTGTGTAGAGATTTACTTATCTAGTTTTGTTGTCTTCCTTCATTGGCAGTGAAGTGGTGTTTTTTTTTTTTTTTTTTAGATGAAAAGATCAAGATGTAAGCAAAAACAGATGTCCAACAGTATATGCTGAGAGGGGACTGAAAAACATCAATACATAAACTAACTAGAATTACAAGAGATTAAATTTTAAAAATTACAAAAGGAAAATAAGCAGTACAACATGTGAATTTCATTTATGGGTGTCAGTATGTCTCTGTGTGTGTATGTTTAATGAGAAAAAAAAAAGGAGTGCACTAAAAATAGCAAAAAAAGAAAAGAATTATA